CACACACACACACACACACACACACGTATATATGTACTTCGAAAAGTTCATGGAAAATGGAATTAAAGAACCAAAATATGACACAAAAAAAGGTCAAATCCGTGCATGGTTCCTTGCATTGTATGCATTTTCCATGGGGTTGTTTAAACCCCTGCGTGTGTTTCCATAAGCATACCTGTCTCCAGAAGGAAACAGGAAAAGTTGGTCACAGTGACTAAATACATTATGATTTATGAAAAAACAATAACCTTCTTGGGCGCGGCGGCGGGGAGGGGAGGAGGAGAAGAGACAGGGAGGTTGTCGATAACATCTCTTACCACTCTGCCGCCCCTCCCAAGCTGGGCCCCACGCCCGCCTCCACCCTCCACATCCCAGCCTCTGAGGAAGCTCGCTGGGACAGGAAAGCTGACTGAAAGCAGCGAGCACCACGCCTGTGCATTCGGAAATGGGTTGGCACCGCGTCCTGTAGGGTGGGCTCTTTCAAACCAGGAGCACCGAGGCTAACCACCGAGTCCGGAGCCGCTCCACAGCCTTTGCATGAGAGGAATATGGGGGGAAAGTGCAGATGTCAGCTCAAAAGAGGGGGTGCTCCCACACTGCAGACAGTGGTTCAAGTCCCGCTTCTCAGGGGCTTAAAAATAGTTGACAAGAAAAATGAAAAGCTATTTGCTGCTGATGTTGTGTAATTTATTTTTTCTTGACTGATGTGCATGGTAATCATGCTGGAAAAAGAAATGTTATATACTGTAAAGGGATATGTAATATAAGTGTCATATAAATGTTTGAAATTTTATATTACATATACATGTAATATAAATGTAATATACAAAAATAAAAAAATTGTAATTTTTTTTTTTTAAAAAGATACTGGAACCTAGCAGGGGGCATAGTGGTTAAGGCACTGGATTCCCACATGGCTGACCACAGTTTGAATTCCAGACCTGGTGGTTTGCTTTTCTCGTTTTCTCTCTCTCTTTCTCTCTCTCTCTCTCTGTCTGATGAGCACACATGCCCTATAGAAAACTTCCAAATAATAATAAATTAAATTAAATGACTTTAAAAAAAGATCACACTGGGTATGTGTGTGTGCATTCCCAAAATCCAGAGAGGAAGGTTGAGGAGAAGGGATTGCAGTGTGGCCATCCCCCGCTGGGGAGGGGTGATTCCTCACTCTCCCTCTCTCTGACCCTCTCCAGCATCTACATGCACCCTGCGGGGAGGGGGAAGAAGAAAGAAAGAAAGAAAGAAAGAAAGAAAGAAAGAAAGAAAGAAAGAAAGAAAGAAAGAAAGAAAGAAAGAAAGAAAGAAAGATCAGGTGCATGTGCATGTACACCCAAAATCCCAAGAGAAGGAGTTGTGGCATGGCCATACTCCCTGGGGAGTGAGTTCTTGTTTCTCTCCAGCAAGTTCACATACTATATGGCAAAAATAATTTAAAAAAAAAAAAAAGGAAGGGAGGGAGGGAGGGAGGGAAGAAGGAAGGAAGGAAGGAAGGAAGGAAGGAAGGAAATAGAGAGAGAGAGAGAAAGAGAGAGAGAAAGAAAAAGAAAAAAGAACAGCATCAAGAAATACAACAGCGGATAGCCTTTCCCCTCAGAAGGAAGGGAGCCGAGCCAGGGCTGAACAAGCCGGCACCCTTTGACAGCCATTGGGTTGGGAGCTTTATGGAATTATCTCATTTAATCTTAAAAGAAAATAAGAGAAAGGGATTGCTGCTATTTTATGGATGAGAAACCTGAATCTCAGTGGAGTTAGCTAACTTGCCCAAAGCTACCCAGAGAGTGAGGGCTAGGGGCAGTCTCACACCCAGATCTGTTAGGCTCCGCGGTCCCTTTTAAAATGTCATCCGTGTGAGGCAATTCTAGGATAGTAACAGTGAGCGAGAGCTTCCTGACCTGCATGGGAGGTTAAGTTAAATTATCTTGGGTCCTTTCCCGTTTTGTTTTTTTCTTTCTTTCTTTCTTTTTATTTTTATTTGCCAGGGGGTATATACACTAGCCAGAGAGAGACAAAGAGGCGGGGGGGTGAGTGAGCACCCCTGAGAGGGCATGGTCATGCTGCAATCCCTTCTCCTCCATTGCCCCATTCCATCAGGATCTGAGACATACACACATGCATTGTTTTTCAAGCCACAAGGACCAGGCTTCAAACCTGAGGTCAGCCCTGTAGGATCTGGCTCCCCTAACGATTAGGCCATGAGCAGGCCCATATCTTAGCTCTCCTTCTGTCTCAGAGGTGCCAGGGCAGAAAGAAAAGCTTTGGAAGCCAAAGTTCAGCTCCTCCAGTTATCTCTGAAGAGCCCACAATCCACTCATCCTTCGGACAGGAAGGCCTGAAGTAGGTTGCTAAGGCCACGCAAGCCACTGCTCAGAGCAAACGCGAGGACCTTTTGGGAGGGAAGAAGGGCAGTGGAAAAGAGCTGGCATTACCTAGAAGGTTTGCTCTTCTCACTGCTGGGGCATCGGGTAGGGCAGACTTCCAGCTAGCAGTCCCCAAGAAACCCTGCAGGGCCACACAGCGGGGAGGGGAAGGCCTCATGCCACCAGGGAGCTCCCAGAGCAGACCAGAACTGAAGCTGGCTGTCCATGTGCTTGCTATGGAGGGGAGGAGGGAGTGTAGGTTTGGCAGCAGGAGCCCATCAGGGACACGGAGCCTGGTCTGTGCAGCGTCTGAGGACCAGTGTCCTTGGAAAAGGACCTGAGTTCGGAGAAGTGAGCAGGAAAGGGCACTTACAAGCTTCTGTTGTTATTTTTAGGTCTCTCCCTCGGGGTCTCTGGGCCCCCTTTCCGTTCCTCCCGTCCATAGCACCATGCCTGGAACAGGTGAGTTTTAACATGAGGGTTCTAATACCACTAGAGCTTCTTTAAATAATGGGATGTTAGGACCTGAATCAGCATTCCCTAAAGGTATATTAAAGGATATTAAAACCTATGCTGGGGAGCAAAGGGTTCCATGACCAGGTAAGTTTGGGAACTGCCCCGTATGCAAAGTTAAAACAAGGATGTGTGTGTTCTTTTTTTATTTCTACTACAGTACTTGCCCGCACCCCTGTGTATCATGCATTCTAAAACAAGCTGAATGGAAGGCAGAATTTTTTTTTTTTTTGGAGAGGTCTTTCCTATAGGGCGCGTGCACTCACCAGACAGAGAAAGACAGAGAGACAGAAAGCGAGAAATCACCCCCCAGGGGGGATGGTCACATCACAATCCCTTCTCCTCCATTCTCCTCTCGGGATCTTGGGCACGTACGCACATGCGCCCGGCGTGAGTTTTAAGCCACCGGGTCTGGGACCCAAACCACGGTTGATTACGTGAGAGTCCAACGACATAGCCATTACGCTAATTGCTGGTTCCTCTGGAAGGCAGAGAATTTTTTGAACTAATTTCTACAGAAGTCTGTTTTTCAAAAAGTACCTAGAGGGACCAGCAGAAGGTGTCATAGTTACATCGCTGGACTCCCATGTTATTGACTGCAGTTTGAGTCCCGGACCCGGAGGCTTAAAACACCCTGGGCCCATGCATGTGCATACCCAAAATGCTGAAAGGAGAATAAAGGAGAAGGGATTGCTACGTGGCCATCCTCCCTGGGGACGGTGATTTCTCACTTCCGGTCTCTTTCTTTCTATCTCTCTAGTGAGCGCACGCGTCCTATAGCAAAAATTTCTATTAAAAAAAAAAAGTACCTAAAACATTGCAAAGCATAGATGGGGTGACGACATGTCCATGTATATCCAGGACAGTCCCAGGGTCTGCCTCATGTTGATAATGATGATCAGGAACATTCCTTTCAGAGTATCTTCGTTTGGATGGTAGAACATATGTCACCTTATCCCTGGGACACAGGCTGGAAAATCCAAACACAAGAATTCCATTTAATCCACGCCTGCCGTTTTACAGAGGATGAGAGCACGTTTCAGGGAAGTGGGCAAGTTAGAACAGGCTGCAGGGCTTCTCAGCACACGGCCCGGGCTTGGTCCCCTTCCTCCTGGTTCAGGGCTCTTTCGCATGCCTTTTCTTTTTGGAGAATTAGAGAGACCAGTGGTCCTTAACTGTACGCTTGGTTCTCTCCCCCACTCCCCTGCGTTGTTCTCTCTCTCTCCTCCTCTCTCTCTGTTCTGCATTTCTTGCTTTTTTCTTTTTATACCATACTTCTCGGTCTGGCTGCATATGCCAAGCCCAGGGCGTGTCCTGGAGGAGGATAATTCTGGCATCTGTCCTTCTCGCCTTTGACAAGTCTTGGACTTGCAGAACCAGCCACACCACTCACGCTACTCTTGAGAGCAATTGGTACCGAGAATCCTCCCTCCCCCGCCAACTCAGGGCTGGGTGGAAGTTGATACGGATGGGTGGGGGTCGGGCAGGGGATGCCCCTTGGTGGGTCCCCCTTGGAAGAAATTGAGTGTCTGAAGGGCCCTGTCATGCAGTTCCAGGACCAGCAGCTTGACGGTCCCCTTGCTTTTGCTTGTCCTAGTAACGTCATCCTGTTCCCCTGGGAACAGCAGCAGGCCCTCGGCTCCTGGCTCAGGACTCCACGCCGGTAGCCCCTTTTGCTTCTCCTTGTCCCTAGTAACGTCATCCTGTTCCCCTGGGAACAGCAGCAGGCCCTCGTCTCCTGGCTCAGGACTCCACGCCGGTAGCCCCACTGCATCTCAGAATAGCTCCAAAGCAGCAGTGAACCCTTCCTCCAGTTTTAACTCTGCAGGGTAAGTGGGAGGGGAGGGTGCAGAGACATCCCTGCAGGGCCAGGGGACATGTGCAAAGCTGGGTCAATGCCTTGGGAAAGGAAGCTTGTCCCAGTGTTGAAAGAGGGGAATGAGGCGGCTGGGTGAGGGCGGAGAGAAGAGGCAGACCAGACCTGATCCCTGGGGAAAGGGATTCAGAAATGAAGCTTCAGCTGGTGAGCCATCCTGGCAAAGAGCTGATGTCAACAAAGCCAAAATTTCCATCCTCCCGGGGCGGATGGAAATTTCCACACACTCCTGAGCTTAGGAGTGCTCCATTTCATGCCAGGAACTCGTTCTCAGGAGGTTCTGATATGAGCCCAGAACTTAGGCACCAAGAAAGCCCTGGGGTTGCAGAGTGGCTGACACCAGGAGAAAGAGAAGCCCGCCGAGCCTTGTCTCCACTCCCACTGTAAAGTGTGCGACCAGTGATTTTCAGCGTATTCAGAAAATAGTGAGGCCACACCATGTCCTAATTCCAGAACATCTTTATTACCCCAAAAACCAGCCCCTGTATCTGCTAACAATCACTCCCAAACCCATCTTCCCTTATCACGTAAGTTTTTTTGAGATAATGTTGTGGCTAATCAACCTATGTCTTTTTAGTAAAAAAAAGATTTATTGAATTTGATTTGTCATTATTATTTACTACAGTGCACATGCACTCACCAGAGAGAGACAGAGAGAGGGAAAGTGAGAAAGCAAGCCACCAGACCCAGGACTCGAACTGCAGTCGGCCATGTGGGAGGCCAGCACTTCAACCACCATGCCACCTGCTGGCCCAGTAACTTTTTTTAAAAGTTCTTCCATGAGTGAGAGATAGACAGAGAGAGAACAGAGAGAGCGAGCGAGAGAGAGAGAACCCTAACAGGGCCTGGGTGCCACAGTCTACCCTCAGCCCCAGTCAGCCGGTGTCATAGGGATATGCGTGTGCAGTGTATTTGGCGGGGGCGGGGGGGGGGGCGGCTCTGGATTTGAACCTGGAACCTCCCCATGTGGGTCAGCCTCATGGAGCATTACATTTTCCTGCGGTGCCTTGGTCTGCCCCCCACCCCACCATTAGCTGCTTTATGATTGACTTTTCTCTTCCTTCCAGATCTTGGTACCGATGGAATCATCCCACCTACCTCCACTGAGACCAAAAAGTTTCTCCTACACGCCCTGGCCCCATATTCCCCACCGGAAGGAAGGGAGTCACTCCTTCTCTGTATGGACAGATTCCTCTCAGTGGAGTGGAAAAAAATATCCCCCCACCATCAAGAACTCAAACGCTTGCCTTCCTCAGGAGCAAGGGCCTCCGAAGATCCAAACTGTGACTGAACCAAGTGCTGACCCTAACGCTCCTGAATGGGAGCCCCTCCTAGGGTTCTCCCCCCTTGCCTGGGCCCTTCTCTTCCGGTTCTCAATGTTTCCGGTGACTTCACTTGGCCATGCTCTTTCAGAGAAAGGACTTTCCCCATGATTCCCCAAATCATCAGTGGGCTTCTGGGGACAACCATTTGTCTGGTGTGCCAAACTACCAGAAGGGGAGAGAATACTTTTGGCCCTGAACTTAGCTCCAGTCCCCAAACTGATCCCACAGTCTGAAAAGATTTGACTCTGGTATTTCCACCAAAGCCTTGAGGTTTTTCTCTGACCAGCAGTTTTCTAACGGAGTCTTCGTTTCACCCCATTCTCTCCTTAACCTCGCCCACCCATTTGCATAGCCCAAGTTCTCGCTTCTGCATAGAAGACTGAGCCACCCTCTGTCCCCTGGTACATCACTGTGTCCTCCCACCCCCCATTCCCCTCTCCGGGCTCTTTAGTCTGCTCCTGTCTGCCCTGGATCTCAGGAAGGGGGTTGATTCCTTTCCCGCCTGTGTTCCTCTGGATCTCCTATCTCTCGTCCTCTCGTTTCTCCTTGCTACAGAAAATGAAGACCCCAGGAACAAACATGATGCCGGCAGATACCTGTAAATAGCCCTTTCACGGTTTTGCATTGTCTCTCTCTCCTAAATGTGGAATTCTCCAGCACAATGTTTAACTCAGGTGTGAGTCGGCCATGTGGGAGGCCAGCACTTCAACCACCATGCCACCTGCTGGCCCAGTAACTTTTTTTAAAAGTTCTTCCATGAGTGAGAGATAGACAGAGAGAGAACAGAGAGAGCGAGCGAGAGAGAGAGAACCCTAACAGGGCCTGGGTGCCACAGTCTACCCTCAGCCCCAGTCAGCCGGTGTCATAGGGATATGCGTGTGCAGTGTATTTGGCGGGGGCGGGGGGGGGAGCGGCTCTGGATTTGAACCTGGAACCTCCCCATGTGGGTCAGCCTCATGGAGCATTACATTTTCCTGCGGTGCCTTGGTCTGCCCCCCACCCCACCATTAGCTGCTTTATGATTGACTTTTCTCTTCCTTCCAGATCTTGGTACCGATGGAATCATCCCACCTACCTCCACTGAGACCAAAAAGTTTCTCCTACACGCCCTGGCCCCATATTCCCCACCGGAAGGAAGGGAGTCACTCCTTCTCTGTATGGACAGATTCCTCTCAGTGGAGTGGAAAAAAATATCCCCCCACCATCAAGAACTCAAACGCTTGCCTTCCTCAGGAGCAAGGGCCTCCGAAGATCCAAACTGTGACTGAACCAAGTGCTGACCCTAACGCTCCTGAATGGGAGCCCCTCCTAGGGTTCTCCCCCCTTGCCTGGGCCCTTCTCTTCCGGTTCTCAATGTTTCCGGTGACTTCACTTGGCCATGCTCTTTCAGAGAAAGGACTTTCCCCATGATTCCCCAAATCATCAGTGGGCTTCTGGGGACAACCATTTGTCTGGTGTGCCAAACTACCAGAAGGGGAGAGAATACTTTTGGCCCTGAACTTAGCTCCAGTCCCCAAACTGATCCCACAGTCTGAAAAGATTTGACTCTGGTATTTCCACCAAAGCCTTGAGGTTTTTCTCTGACCAGCAGTTTTCTAACGGAGTCTTCGTTTCACCCCATTCTCTCCTTAACCTCGCCCACCCATTTGCATAGCCCAAGTTCTCGCTTCTGCATAGAAGACTGAGCCACCCTCTGTCCCCTGGTACATCACTGTGTCCTCCCACCCCCCATTCCCCTCTCCGGGCTCTTTAGTCTGCTCCTGTCTGCCCTGGATCTCAGGAAGGGGGTTGATTCCTTTCCCGCCTGTGTTCCTCTGGATCTCCTATCTCTCGTCCTCTCGTTTCTCCTTGCTACAGAAAATGAAGACCCCAGGAACAAACATGATGCCGGCAGATACCTGTAAATAGCCCTTTCACGGTTTTGCATTGTCTCTCTCTCCTAAATGTGGAATTCTCCAGCACAATGTTTAACTCAGGTGTGACTTTGGAAGACATCTCTGTAATAATATTTTATCCCCGTCTTCTCTTTTTTAAAAAAAGGAAACAATACCAAAGTGTGAAATACTGTGCTTAGCTTCCACGGAGTTCCCTTGTGGGCCGGGACTCTGTGGACTTCTGCGGGAACTTGTCTCTGGAGTCTCCTTCTTTGTGGGCCAGTGTGTAGAGATGCATTGGGAAGCCATCCCAGAAATGGCACTTTTTTTTAAAAAAAAAAAAAAAAAGACTGCATATGCAGGAAACTGTTGAGATTCCAAAGAATCTCTCTATTCCTAAATAAATGTGTATAGTAATGATATAAACTTTCTACCTGCTAAGAAGAGGTTTAGATCATCGTTCTTTGCCTTTTTGTTGTGGTGGGGGGGTAGGGGGGTGATGGGAGGGATGTGAACCCATAAAGCAAACTGGGATGAGAAAAAATGTTTCCAGTTGGTACAGGAAGTGTATTATTCTTGAAACTAATGCTAAGGTGATAAGGCTGGGTCTTCAGAAAAGTCATGATGCATTTTTGCATAGAAAAACACAGAAAACTGTATCAGGACTTTTCCGATGACCCCATATATTAACACAGAGCCCTGAGGAGTTCTTACTATTTGGGACAGTACTACCTTGAGGACAGGGCCGGCATGAAATGGGTCTCCCATTTTGTAAGTGGGGGAATGGTGACTGGGCCAGGTGAAGTTATGCAGAGATTGACGTGGTGGAGGTGGAGGCTAATATCTCGTGACTCAGATACCCTGAATGGAAATTATCCACATAAATGTTATTTACATGGGAAAGATATAGACATCGAAGGTGAAGAATAGTGCATGGACCAGTTGCAATGCATTCTCTTTCACATGCATTGCAACTTTTGCCAAGAAAGTTGAGGGGCTCGGAAGCTAACTCTGTGGGTTTTTCCTTAGGTTAATAAAGATTGAAATGGTTACCGTTCCTGAGGGGATGGCAGATCCTCTAAAAGGAAATGGCATGGCCCTACCCCACGGTCTGGTGGTTACGTGAACTGGATCCCACATGGCTGACTGTGAGGTTCACATCTCAGCCCCAGCAGGTTGGAACACATGTGAGACACACACATGTGCATGCCCCAAATCCTGACTGGATAGAGAAGTGGAGGGACTGCATACCCTGTTGAAGGGTACTGTCTCTTCCTCCCTCTTTCTCTGTTTCTCTGTCTCTGATGAACACCCTCTTGCGAATAAGAAGGAAGGAAAAGAAAGGAAGAGAGAAAGAGAGAAAAAGAGGAAGGGCAGGAAGGAAGGAAGGTAAGAAAGAAGGAAGGAAGGAAGGAAAAGGGGAAAGAAAAGAAAGAAAGAAAGAAAGCAGTCGTATCTGATGGAGGAAAACTAAAAGTGGGATTAAACACTTGTTGCAAATAATATCTGAGTGGGAAAACCATACAAAACCTATCCAGAGTTACTGCTCCTGGTGTTTGAATATTAAGATTTCTATTTCACACTGCCAAATAGGAGACGGCCTGTGGCAAGGGCTGCTTTCTCTAGGAAAGGCCTGGTTAAAAGGGCCTAGACTGCAGCGAGAGACAGCAAGCGGAGCCTGGGCGGTGATTAAGTACACAAGGGGTCTCCTCCGTTACTCAGGGCCCATCTGTGCATAGCTCTGCGCACACACGTACGCACATGTGTGTGTGCACGCTCTCAGTAACCCTAGCTGCCTTGACACCCTGCTCAGGTGAGTGCTCATGGTGGATCTTCTGCACTGTCTAAAGTTGGTTTTTGTCTACTTGTCCATGGTGTTTTTTGTTGGTTTGTTTGTTTTTTAGAGAGAGGTTTTTTGTTTGTTTGTTTGTTTGTTTGTTTTGCTATAGGCCACAGATGCTTGCTGGGGAAAAAAAAGAGAGAAACAGAGAGACAGAAAGTGAGAAATCACCCTCCAAGGAGGATGGCCATGCCACAATCTCTTCTCTTCTGTTCTCCTCTCGGGATCTTGGGCACGCACACACACACCTGGCGTGAGTTTTAAGTAGCCGGTTGGGACTCGAACCGTGGTTGACAATGTGGGGGTCTAGCGAGATAATCATTGCATCATCTGCTGGTCCCACCCATGGTTTTTTGTTTTTTGAGAGATTTTTGCTTTAGGGCGTGGCGCTTGCCAGAAAGACAGAGAGACAGAAAGCAAGAAATCCCCCCCCCCAGGGGGGATGGCCACGCCACAATCCGTTCTCCTCCATTCTCCTCTTGGGATCTTGGGCACGCACGCACACGCGCCTGGCATGAGTTTAAGTCACCGGGTCCAGGACTCGAACCACAGTCAACTACGTGGGAGTTCAGCGACATAGCCATTACGCTAACTGCTGGTCCCCCACTCATGGTTTTTATGAAAAACAGCACCATACCTTGTTCAGCCTCTGGTAGCGCCCGTTGCCTGTGGTGTTGGACAGTAACTGAACAGAGTCAAACCTGAAAGCAGTACAGTCCACCTTTCAGCTTCTCATGAGTCTGCAGAATCCATCATTCCTGGGATGTCTCATGGAAGCTTGCTTAGCTTCCTCCATGTCTAATTAGGGATAAGAGGGGCCAGCAGGTGGCATAGTGTTGACATCGCTGGACTTCCACATGGCCGACCACGGTTCAAGTCCCAGACCTGGTGGCTTAAAACTCATGCTGGGCATGTGTGTGTGCATGCCCAAGAACCTGGGAGGAGAATGAAGGAGAAGGGATTATGACTTGGCCATCCCCACTTGGGGGATGGGGGTTCTCACTTTCCCTCTCACTGTTTCTGTCTCTGTCTCTCCCTCTCTCTCTCTGGCAAGTGTGTATGCCCTAAGGCAAAAGTCTCTAAAAAAAAGAATAATAAT